GGGGGGGGGAGATGATTGCATATGCAAATGAGGAGCCAAAAAGCTATTGACACGAGCCGATATTCAAATAAGGCGCAGAATGCCGATGAGCCGTGATTTGTTCCGGCACATTATTTGCACAGTGATCGTATGCAAATGAAAGACCGCGGTTGCGGGAACTTCTTGCATATTTAAATAAGGGGTTGGCGAAAAATGTGCGCGGGGGCTTTTTTGTTTAACAGCGGAATATTCTAATGAGGGACTGGACGGCCAATGGCGTGGGCGGGTTGGCTGTTTAATATTCATTGTTATGCAAATGAGGCCCGAGGTCCCGTTCCAGTCCACGTCGCTCCCACCCGAGTCACGCGTGGGCCTTACCGGGCGGGGCAAGGGGCTCCGGGGGGTGGGCGGGCACCAAGCGGGCAATCCGGGGAACATCCCAGAGCCGGGGGTGTCACGCGTGGGGTGGGGGAGCGGCAGTGCGGGGCTCCTCCCATGTGGGCTCAGGCTTCCCACCCCACCACCGCTCCGCCCCCGGCACGGTGTACCCACCTGCCCGCTCCTGCGTCACACGAGTCCCGGCCACGCGTACAGCCCCGCCACTGCCACATAGAGACCCCCCCACCCCAGCTGGGAGGGGGAGTGGGGGCGCTGCACCCAATCCCCACGCAGGACACGCCCACCTCCTGGGATAGCCCCGCCCCTTCCCCGCGAGCCGAGGCAGGTTCCCGGGGTGCGGCACCACCTGGTTGGATGGAGGAGCCGGACGCCTGGGTTCTCTCGCAGTTCTGGGATGGGAGTGGGGTCTAGTGGTCACGGCGGCGCCGGCTGTCCACAGGGCACCTTGCCCGGATGCGGGGCGGGGGCCCTTTGGGACCGGGGCCCAGACGCCTGAGTTCCCACCTGGATCTGGGGGGCGAGGGGCCCGGCCCGGACGCCTGGGTGCTGAGATGCAGCCCAAACGCGCAGCCCCACGGATGCCTCTGTTTCCCACCCGCCCTCTCCGGCGGTGGTTGCGGCAGCCTGTTCCCGGTGGCCCCGGGCAGGCTCCGACCGGCTGGGTGGGGGCGGGAGCGGGCCGGGTCACCGGGAAACTGAGGCACTAGGCCGATGGGCTTGCGGGAGGAGGGACCCAGACGTCCGGGCGCCCCGCCCCTGGTGAAGAGGGGCGGAGCTTCTTGCGGGGGCGGGGGCGGGGCCCGCTGAGGGGCGGTGCGCTCTGATTGGCTCCGTCTTCTCGCGCTCGCTCCGCCCCCTCTCTCTGTGCACCGGAATTGGTTGCAGTTGCGGGAGGGCAGCGGGGCCAAGATGGCAGCTTAGGCTGAGGTTGGGTTTGGCTGTCTTGGGGGTAATTGCGGGGCTGGGGTGCGGAGTTGGGATTCAGCGAGGCAGGGGTCCTGCTCGGAGGTGAGGGCTATTGGGACGGGTCTTACCTGCAGTGTCCTGAGGCCAGGGAGCATGTTGGGGGCAGGGAGTGGGGCCCCTCCGGGGGCGCTGGGAGAGCAGGGAACTCTCGGCTGCATGTTGGTTGGTTTGAAGGAGGGTTGGAGTGTGGACGCAGGATGCACGTGCCTGCATTGTGTGTACATGTGCGCAAGCCAGGGTATCCTGGTGGGGTATGGCCGAGCCAGGGCCCTCCACGGCTAAACCAGGCACTATTTGGCTCTGTCCTAAGCTACTCTTGGATGCCTAGCGTGAGTCACCCAGCTCCTGCACCTCTCACGGGTCCCTAAAACCCCACCATGAACAGCGTGTGGCTGCCCGCCACAGCCCGGGGCACACTGTGGAGGGCAGCGCTGGGGCGGGATTACACCTGGTTGCAGAGCCCTGGCTGTGTTCAGGTACTGGGGGCAGTGCAGGGGGCTGGGTTTGAGGTGGGGTGAGGTAGGGGCTTGGTAGGGGGGGCAGTGGAGGAGGCTGGGGTAGCATGTGGGGCTGCAGAGATTCAGCAGGCTCATGACATAAGGGAGCTACCCTGTCCTGGGTTATCCACCCCAGGGCAAGGAGAGGGCATGTTGAGATACCAGGGGTGGTGCGGAGTAGAAGGGTTTGAGATAGGACAGAGGGTGAAGGGCAGGGGCTTGTGCGGGCGGCCCTTGTGCCCTGCTGACTCTGTGCTCTGCAGGCTTTCTGGACAGGGCCCCTGCGTGGCTGTAGCAGTGGCTCGAAGCTGACCCTGAGGCCTGGGGATGATGGAGATGGGGAGCAGACACTGCGGGAGCTGGTGCCCTTTGAGAACATGTTCTGGCAGGGGGGCCAGCAGGGCCGCAGCAAGGCAACCTGGTGCCAGGTGGTGGAGGCCTTCCAGAACCGGGACGTGCGACGCCGCGAGCATGTGGAGTTCATATACGCAGCACTGCGGCACATGGTGATTTTCGGTGTGGAGCGTGACCTTGACGCCTACAACTGCCTGCTAGAAGTTTTCCCCCAAGGTGTCTTTGTGCCCCAGAACTACATCCAGCGCATGTTCCAACACTACCCGCGCCAGCAGCTGTGCGGCATCCAGGTGCTCGAGCAGATGGAGACCTATGGTACGGCCAGCTACTGGGGGTCTTGGAGGGCATGGGGGTGCGCGGTTTAGAGGAGGTGGGGCTGAGGCCAGGACACAGGTTATATGCCAGTTGTAGGAAGGAACTGGGAGGCTGGGCGTGTTAAACCAAGGTGGGCTGAGAACCCGGACACCTGGGTTCCATCCCAGTTGTAGGCGGGGAGCAAGGTCTGGTAGGTTAGAGAAGGCAGGTGCTAGGACTAGGATGCCTGGATTCTGTCCCAGTGGGTTAGAGCAGTGAGGGCTGGCAGTCCAGATACCTGGGCCCAGTCTAGGAGACAGCAGGGAGCTGGTTAGGTAGAGCAGAAGGGGTGGGGCAGTGCACTTGGGTTCCATCCCAGTTATAGGAGGGGAGCAGGATCTGGTGGGTTAAAACGTGGGTGCTGGGATCCTGGACGCCTGGGTTCTAGTCTTTCTTTGGGAGAGGGTGGGGAGCTAGGGCAAGGGCTGGCTGGGAGCCCAGACACCTGAGTTCTTCCCCAACAGTGCCAACAAGGCTGTCCGCACCCTCCATGGATTCAGCCTGCAGACCAAGACCATCAATGTTGGAGAAGGAGGAGCTAGAGCAGGGGGTGCTCAGAGCCCAGACACCTGGATTCTGTCTCCAGTCTGGGAGTGGAGTGGGGTTTGGTGGGCCAGAGCAAGAGAAACTGGGAGTCTTGATGCCTGGGTTTCATCCCACCACTGGTTCAGGGTGTGAGTGAGGCGCATCGCTTGGCTAGTCCATGCCTCAGCTAGTCCATGCCTCAGCTTCCCCCACTGTAGCAGCACCCCAGCACCAGGGAGCCCTGCCTCAGTGCCCGCCCTTTCCTGCCCACAGGCATCATGCCTGACCAGCAGACCAGATTCCAGTCACCCTGCATACAAGTACCAGCGCATCATGTACTGGTTCCCAAAGTTCAAGCACATTAACCCCTACCCGCTGCCCAATCCCCTGCCCCGTGACCCTGTTGACCTGGCACGGCATAGCCTAACCAGGATCGCTGCTGATGCCAGCGCCTGTGTCACCATCTACCAGGTGAGCCCATCCCTGGCCTCCCTGCCTTTCCCAGAGCCCTACTGACTCCAGGCCATGAACCTTGTGGTCTCTGGTGGGGGAGGAGGGGGGTACCAGGCTTCTCAGCCCTGCTGGGGTGGCAGGGGGGGCGGTCTGTGGTGGGTGGGAATGGACTCTGCCCACAGGAGACGAGAGAAGGAGCAATGGGTTTGCACTATAGCAGGGAAGGTTGAGGCTGGAGACAAGGCAGAACTTCCCTTTTTGGAGGGAGATTTGGTGCTGGGACAGGCACCAGGGATGGTCTGGATGGGGACCTCCAACTGCCCCAGAGCTGGGCTGTTTGGGATGGGATGCAGGGGCTGGGCTGGGAGTGACCCCTGAGTGCCTGGCACTGCTTGGTGGGTCTCATAGCACTCATGTCCCTGCAGATGCCCTTGCCAGAGCAGGAGGATCCAGGGATAGATCCTGCACAGCCCTACATTGTAGGTAGGGATTCCCGCAATTGGGCACATTGTTGCGGGGGGGCAGTTACGTTGGACCAGGGGATAGGTGCTGACACGAGGGCCTACCTACAGCCATGGGCTGGTGAGAGGCTGTAATGGACCATGGCCTCTTTCCCCCCCGCCTCCCCCGCACATGATGTAGCACAGCGGTTCCTAATCTGTAGTACATGTACCACCAGCGGTACAGAGACCACCTGTCTATGGTATAGGTTAACAGATTTATTATAATTACTTCATATAACAAAAATTTGCTGGTGGTACTTCTGGTTGAACTGAAAAATTTGCTGGTGGTACTTACGGCTGTGTTGCTTTAAATTGGTGGTGTGCAATCTGTCAGCATTTGGGAACCACTGACAGCAAATCTCAGCCCCACCAAGGAGTGGGGCTGCTAATCCCATCCTGTGTTTCCACCTCCCAGGCATCCAGAGTCCTGACCAGCAGGAGCTCCTGGCCCGCCACAACCCTGCCCAGCCTGTCTTAGTGGAGGGCCCCTTCCGACTGTGGCTCAAGACAACGTGCGTCTACTACTACATCCTGCGTGCTGAGCTCCTGCCCAAGGAACAGCAGGTATGGCTTTGCAGGGGAGTGGAAGGGGGAGACACCAGCTGGGCAGGGGTTACTTCCAGGGCTGGAAGGTACAGATGCAGTAGGACCCTTTCCCCTTTCAAGGGTGGTGGCTCCACATCGCCAGCCTTCAGCAAGCTTGTCAGGTCTCAGCTTGTTTCCTAGCAGGGCGTAAACCAGTGGGGGCCTACTGTGAGCTATGTGGGCTGGAGCTCCTGGTTGTGGGGTAGGGGTGGGTGATCCCAGGGTAGCAGCTGCCCCATCTGCCCCCTTCTTCTGCTTCTCCCCAGGAAGCGGTGATAGATCTGGAGCAGAGCTTCTACTACCCACTGCAGCTGGACCTGGACCTGGACCGGGGCATCTGGGACAAGGAGACTTTTGACGTGGAGAAAGGTGGGGGGGAAGAGGGGTGGGAACCTTCTCTGTGGCTCTTGGGGCCCCTGTGCGCTTCCTGGCCCTTCACTCGCCCACTGCTTCCAGCAGTGGTGAGGCCAGCCTGCAGGGAAGGGTCTTTATACTCTGGGTCTTCCCTGGTAGAGAAGGGGCCTGGGGCCCTAAGATCAAATTCACCTCAGCCCCACAGATGGTCTGAAATTAGAAACAGCCACAAGGCTCCCAGCAGTCACCTCCTTGCCTGGGTGTTCTATTGTAGCTGCAGCACACCCCCTAGAACTGGCCTCATTTCAGGCTTAGCTAATCCCAGGGTGCATGGACCTGGGGGGGTGGGGGCAGAGATGCTGGCGGCTTTGCACAGAGCAGATTGTAGCTCCCCCCCCATGCCCCCTGCTGGGGCTGATGCCTTTGTACAAGACTCAAGCCTGGAACACCAGAACTTGTAGCTTCCAGACACTGCTTCTCTGCCATGCCCCCCCCCTTGCATGACTCCAAACTGATGCTGTTTTTCCCCCCACAGTGGAGGAGGGGCCCTTATTTGCCATGTGTATGGTGGGTGCAGGAGACCAGGCCACCTTGGCAAAGTGGATTGTGGGCCTGCAGGAAACCAACCCCATCCTGAGCCAGACTTCAGTCATCTTCCACCTCAGACCAGGGCCCCAGGAGCTCCAGCTGGCACCCAGTGCAGCCAAGAGCAGGGAGGAAGAGGAGGAGGAAGAGGCACAGGCACGATGGGGGACCAGGGAAGCTTAAACCCCTCATCAGCCTCACGGACTGAGTGGCTCAGAGCTGCTGTAGAGGGTGGTTAGAAGCTGGGGGCAGCTTGCTCCAGCCACCCTGGAGAGAGTGGGGGGTGAGAGGGGCAGTTGGTTACATTGTTCTATGCCGTGTTTCTGTGGAAACAGAGCTTTTAACAGTCTCCATGCTGCCTTGGGTTTAAGCATTTGCTCTGATGGCCAAAGTGGTAGATGGGGCCTGTGCCCACCTGGGATAGCGAGGGCCTGACAGGGCTGCTTGGAGCATTAGGGGACACCCCCTGGCCTGTGGCAGTGTGGGCGCTTGGTGTTGCCCGTAAGGCTCCCCCAATAAAGCAGTGTGCTCCTCAGTTTGCCTGCGTGTGCCCTTTGTCCAGGGCATAAGTGGAGCTTTGCAATGGGGGGGTGCTCCCTGGGCCCTGTGTCTCAGTAATGCCCTTACCAAAGTAAGGGCAACATGCTTCTGCTACTTGGAGGAACCTGTTGAGCCCCTTCCTCCCGTGGCCCATACGCAGCAAGCGTGAAACTCGACGCATACGCACAGCTCGCCCACTTTCCTGAGGGGAGGGCGGGGGGGGGTGACCGCTAACGTCTCCTGCGCACGCGCCCCGCGAGCAGGAGGGACTTTTCGTGCAGGCGTCGCGTCCTGTCCACCCCCTCCAGCCGGAAATGTGGCGCGGACCTTTTACGTCACTGCCGCTGCGCCGGGAGCTCCTAACAACGGACTGCTCGGGGCGGGCGCTGGGTAGCAACGGGCGCGGGGG